TGATGGTTGAAAGTGAGCGAGCTTAGAAGACGCGAATAAATACACGACGATCTCAGATCCCGTCCTCTGTCGGCGAGATATCCAAGATTTTCTTGCACCGTGTCTCGCGGCTTTTTCCCGCTCGTTCTTTCGCTTTTCTCGCTCGCTTCCCTTGCTCGCTGCGCAGTGTCTTTTATTGGTCTGTTTGCGCAGGCCTGGCTGGGCCTGGCTGGGCCTGAGCGCAGATAGTGTAACACGCGTGCGCGGCAGCTGAGGCCCACGCCACAGGGGAGACGACAGAGCCGATACCCCATTACGCGTTCTTCGTTTATTTTGCGGCTTTGCACGTTACAGATCTTACTGTAATATTCCTTTGTACTTACCAGCGGCGGGATTCCCTCTCATTATACTTTTTCTCGCGCCGGCATTATACGGTGCGCGCCCTACTTCTCTCCACCCTTTTGCCTCGCATTCCCCTTCGTTGTACCTGGTTTCCTCTCTTCTTATTTCCCGCTCCAATCTCTCTCTCTCTCTCTCTCTCTCTCTCTCTCTCTCTCTCTCTCTCTGTTCAATTCCTCTTAAACTCTTCTCTTCACCGGCGTGCTCTTGGTTTTACAATACGACACGCACACTGTAATCCCGCCGATTCGAAAAGAAAAACATCGAGACTACGAGATCCGACGCGCGGTCAGCTCGGTTTCAATCTGCGTACATTCCATTTAAGATGAACAGTTTTTGCGGCTCTCGAATCCTGTCGATTTACGCCCAGGGACCGCGTACCTCGACAGAGGGTGAGAGAACCTCGAAGAAAGAGGAGACCTCGTACTCGTTACGTAGGTGTTTGCTCTCGCGCGTTTCCCGCTAGTTAGCCACACACACACACACACACACACACTCGAGGAAACTTAATTGGGAAAATTTATGCAACAATTTCAAACCTCGCTTGCATCTGGATGTTTGTGTCAATTTTACCACGTTAAAAGTGTGCGAAACACGATCGATAATCTACAGTAGTTTTGTCCACTGCACCGTAAACTGTTAGACCTTTTTGAATTTAAAGAATAATTCCAATGTCTTTGGAATACATTTCACGATGGTACATTTCCTGCGTTGATGATGGCACAAATTCAAGTAAGGTAGTGTAGGAATTTTGGTATAAAAGGTTGTTTATTTGAAGATAAAAATAAGAATTTTGTTTAACGGTGATTATAAGATGAAGATTAACACTATTCTAGATATTCTCGCTACACTATATTCTAGATATTCTCGCTACTCTCTTACTTCACTGGAAACTCACAACTCTATCTTTTCGCAACTCTCTCACCAATTCTTCTTTTCCTCATCAGCACGAAACATTCGTCGTTCGTGCACACAAACGCAACCATACCCTTAATATTTCAAGTGTCAGACCTGGAAAGCTAGAATGAACAATCCCCAAGTCCCAGGTCTAACTTTCGTTATGTTCTACTATCCAAATGACACGCAAGCGATGATTGTTGGGCACTGGACAAAGTTCTGGCCCCTTTCCTGGAATTCCCCATCCAACATTAGTGACTAAATGCAGGACAGTTATCACTTTATTGAATCGCCGCTACGCTCTTTCGTTCGTAAGAGAAAGCTGTTCCATCTTAATTTAGGTTCTATCGTCCTGCCAAAAACAAGAAATAGCCGGAACAAAGAAAGAGAAAATCCGTGGTGGTTAAGAGGTGGTTATGGTGTCGGTTGACATCATAAATCGCTCCTCCCCTGGATTTATGCGTAATCTACGCTGTGACCCTACGGTTTAATGTTGCAGAGTTATGCGTCGGGGATGGAGCAGGCCTCGCGCGCTCATCTTTGCGAATGCACACTATCGCAACACGCCCTTGTAAATACGCGCGTACACGCGCGTAAACGACACGGGCACACGCCCGTTTAACTGGAAAACAGAAAATACTGGCTCCGTGTCGATACACATGCACGCACGCGTGGCATTCTGTCACCACGTACACTCGGGGCGCTCACGAAGCCACGTACTACGCGCGCAACGAAGCCCAACACACACACGGGCGAAAGAGGCACGTGAGCGCGTGCACACCGGTGGGATATAGGTGCAGGACAGGTTGGCAAGCGTTGGTGCGTGCAAGCGAGCAGCACGCGTGTGCTCGCAAGGGCCGCGAGCTGGATGACGCGTTGCGCGCAGAGGCGCGGAGCCCAGACCTAGCCCAATCTTAACGGCCCACGCCAGTCCCTGCGAGGGAGTAGCCGGGCATAACGCGTTCCGCAATGAGGCTGGCGAGAGGAAGGTCGATGAGCGGACCGGGGAAAGGAAGAATGAACTGAGCGGAAAGGAAACTGGGAGAGGAGGAAGAGCAATGCCACGCCGGTGCAGTGCTGTGAGAGTTAGCAGGGCGGTGCGTGGGTCACAATGCCCTTAGGGTACAGGATCCTTGCTCCTCTCTTCTTTCCTCCTTTCGTCGTCGTCGTCGTCGTCGTCGTCGTCGTCGTCGTCGTCGTAGCCATCCTCTGGCTCGTCGCCGTCATCTTTGTCGTCGTCGGGCGGTCGAACCCGTTGCTCGGTTCGTACCACAACTCGTTATGGAAAGCATACGGGGATATTGTTGCTCGTATATATGGAGAGTACGAGGGAAGTGCGCCGTGCTTGTACTATGCAGATGATTCCGCGATATGGGCTATTCATTGTGAGTCATTTAAGAGTTTATGCGGTGGGTACGAGCCGCGGCCGCGTACGCGCGATATGTTATTATATTGCGTATCGAAAGGTTTGCTATGGAGTAACGCATGCACTGCTGGGATGATCGTAGCTCGCGGTCTTTCGCGCCCGTACGCGCCGCGAAACACAACGCCCGGCGCCCATTTCTGCCTCGGATGCACGCACGTCTGTGACACGCCAACAGTCAACAAGTGTAGTTGCCTAGATGACTTCGTGAAATAATTACTAGGAACCCCGGAAAGTACATCTGACGGCTTTTTTCGTGTACAACGATTACAATGTTCAATTTCTTAACCCTCGAATAGCCGATAAGTAAATGAGCGACGCAGCCGACAACCGGATCACTTTTCACCCATAGCTGAATTTTTACTATACTTGCTTTGCACCTAACTTTTTGGTAGAGGATGTTATCTAATAATGTTTATAATATGGGGAGGCGAGGAGATTTTGCTTCAAAAATGTAAAATTTTATAAACATATTTTTTATTTATGTGCACTGCGTACATACAACGTGATTGTGTTTTATTGCATGTTCTTTGCATATAAATCGTAAACATTTGGCACATTTGACACCATATTTATTATCATTGACTGTACATATATGTAGCATCAAGTTCTGGGTCAATCTTTTGGAAGTTTCTCTCGTAACTGTTATATTTACTTGAGTACAAATGAACATACAAGGTACGAAAGTCGGAGGAGGATTCTCGGGGATTTTCTAAGTACACTGAAGTCCGCCTCCTTTTCAAAAAAAAAAAAAGAAAAGAAGAATTTCTGTTACACTGAATATAGAAATTCATCCACAAAATGAATTTTGGTTCATGAAAAGAAGTAGCTCTGCTCTAATGTCTGTAGGTTACAAAAAAAAAAGTAACTATTTAACTAAGAACGAAGTGTATAATCGATAAACTGGATACAGGTAGATTCAAAGCAAGCACTGAAACTTCTGTCATGTAACAAGTAAGAAATTTAACACGGAAATATCACAGAAATAATTGACAACGTTTAACGAATTAATGAATAATACAAGTTTTCTGCCTTGCACAATATTAAAATCGCAGTAAAATAGAGGATCGAGCTCGAACTATAATCGAACCGGATTGCGCAATTTTAAAGGCAATCGAATACGAACGATTGGCCCAGGCCGAAGAATCGCGTTGTATTTTTTTTCTTTTTTCCTTTCCTCGGTGAAAATTACGCTCGTTCGCGGGAAGCGTACATTTCCTCGGCAGATAGAGCACGGATAGACCGCTCTTACACCATAGTGGCTGTTTTGCAGTGTATCGATGAACAAACAGGCAGAGAGTTGCGATAAAACGCCCGAAGCTGTCCGTGGCCGGTGTGTTATGCATGCGAGAGAGCAAGGGTAAATGACGGAGGTGGCAGCGTTGATGATGGTGGTGATGCAAAACATGATAATAATAATGACGACGTAGACGTCGCCGGGAATGAAGCGGACACGCGTCTACCCGCATTTCTTCGAGTTTCATGCAAACCAGATCTCGGCTAACGAAATGAAAACGTCGCCGAAGCTCGACGATCGGTCTTTTTTTTTTCTTTTCTCTCCCCAGTTTCTTTCGAACTACCACTTCCTTTTGTTTGTTATCGAGATTAAAGCGTTGGCGCAAATCTCTCATTTGTAACTGCCTTTTCAATCAATTTGCGTTGTTGAATTCGCATTTTCACATTGCAACCGCAATCGGTTCAACGAAACCGATGAAATGCGTTTATGTAACTCTTGCACGTTATTTCGCTGCTTGCTCCTCAACTGGTTTGATTTGAAGAATTGATCAACGAAGTTGATTAACATCGCGATAAATTAATTGAATTCTTGAACTGATGTTGCCGAGGCATTATTGGGAATCGTAATGACTTACGATTGAACTTTCAATTTAATTCGATCTTGTCGTTAATGTCTGAGATGCAAAAGTAAACCTTTTAGTATTATTGCATGGTATAAATTACTATAATCCAGTGATACCATTTAAAAGTTAAATATCGCAAGATGCAACATTTGTCATTTGCAAATATCCGCAATCTACATACGATATTAGAATATCTAATGATATTTCCTTTATAAATTATAAATCTCTTTGCTATTTTTATTTTCTAATTATTTCATTATAAGTTTGTCATTTCATTCGTATTTGTGTCTATGCAGTTTATAGTATATGATGATAAGTAGAATATAATTTTTCAGTTTTCCAATAAGAATAGATGTTCCAACTCTTTGGACCATTTGACAAACATACGATCAATTCCTGGTCAGGAAATAATGAAAGTACATATTTTTTGTATTTCTTTGCAGGAAGAGTACAGCCAACGAAGACGCCTGTCCACTCCCAGCGGCAGTCCCAGTCCGCCCAGGCCGACAAGGCTGTCGAGATCTACGGGTACACTCACCAGAGAAGAGGAATCCTTCTGCGAGTCGAGTAACACCCTCACCAGAGAGAATCAGGGCCAAGAAGCTGAGAGGAAGGGCTGGTTCAAGTCTCTGTCCAGGAAGAATAAATCGAACATCAAGGTAAATTTCAATCTCTCTTTCTGTGTATGTTACAGAATACTTTACTTACATTTCATCCGTTCGAGTCTCGAGCAGATAGCTCGTAGCTCAGATTTCATAAAGACCAACTATTTGACCGCGACGTGCAATAACTGTCAATGTGTCTCATCGTTACCTTTTTTCGTAAAAAAAAAAAAAATGTGGAATGAAACTTTTTGATGTGAGACCTCGCCTTCGAGATCATCCTGTATTTCTGACCTTGAGGTAGAGCTTAAAATAAATTATGATCATTTTTTATATTAAAATCATTGTAAATTCTAAATTATTAACAATTAATTGGTTTCTCTCGTTGATCGGCAAAATTCTGTATTATAATTAATTCTAAAAATAAATTTTCAATTACATTAATTATAATTGAATTTAAAGTTGGACATTTTGCAAACTTTGTATAATCTGTTAATAAATTGGTAAAGACACAAACATTCAAGAGACACGGCTTGCGTCAAAGCGATTTCAGTTCATGACATCATCTGTCTGAAACGGTTCTTCAAAATAATCAAATTCCACGGGCCTCCTTTCAAAATTGGTAATTTTGTGGGCGACGTTTTAGTAGAGAATCGACTCCGACTATGTTGTGTGTATAATATCGCGATAAACGCCTCCGCAGTGTCGCGATACGTCTGTAACAAAAATTAAAGAACTTCCAACCGACGGACGATATCCTCATTAAACAAAAATAAATTCGTATCTCGTATCACAATATATCTCGGAATATAATAATTAAGGTACAATCGAAGAAGTAATAATCTCTTAAATAATAGCGAATCACGTGAAACTGATGCCTCTTTGCCCATGTAAATATATAAACCAGGACTAAAGAACAGAAAAATTAATAAAGCAAGAGATTAATCATAATATATTTACGTTACTAAAAATTGTCATTTACACAGTTCCAGTTTCGAGGAATTTCTTTCCAAGGTTTCAACACTTCAATTTCCTCTTGTTTCCAATTTTTATCTCGATGACAGGAATCACCGAATCCGAAATATCGATAAGAAATCGGAAATCTCTTGTCCCTTTCCTGTTTTTTTCTTCTCTTTCTTTCTTTCTTTTTTCAAAGACTCTCTCAGAAGCAAAATGCATATGATTTTTGCGAGTTGCATCCGATAACGAGCGGACGGATCGTGTGTCCGGTTATCGGGTTCGCGGCGAGCCGACTGAGCAAGCTGGTACATTCATCAGTCAGCAAAGGTCGCTACGGAGCGGTTCCATTAGTCCGGTACAACCTCCAATTACCAGTTTGATTAAATGCTTAACTAACTCTGCGCTCTGTGGTTTAATTTAATCGCGAGATTAAGTGCCGATCAGGGGGCTGCCTAGCTTTAACCATCGTCCGCGGAATAATCTCTGTCAGGTACCGATTCCGAGCCGCTTCGATAAGCCGCGGGTTGCTGCGGCCGGTCGAGATGATTGCGTGCGCGTGAATCTCACCGTGGACGATGATCTATAGGGGATGAATCGATGGGCCGAGGAACGAGAGAGATCATGACTCACGGAGACGCCACGAATGGAAACGAGTGGCCGAGCCGGCGTTTTTTTTTTTTTTTTTTTTTTTTTTCTCGTTTACACAAAGAGCACATCTTTGCGCTCGACTTTATTGCATTAATCCTTAGCCGTCTCTCTCATTCTTTCAACTTGATTTGTTGTTCCCTGGTGTGAAATTAACGCAGCGATAAAAAGAAAAAGAAAATTAATGGGAGAAAGTTTCCTTATATTGGGAACATTTACTGATATCAGGCGTCAATTTTATTGCTTCAGACGGTGGACAAGAAACCGAGGATACCAGAAAGCGAAATCTTAACCACCGGAACCGAGGACGAGGAAGTCTCATCCGCACCCGAACGAGTCTCCGTACAAAAGAACTTGCGTTTCTTTGGTGACACCGATCAAGAGTCTGTTTCGTCCAATAGAGATCGCAGGTGAGATTCGTCTTTCCTTTTCTTCATACATCTACGTAAACTTTCATCGAAATTTCACGAAAAGATACACTAGATGATAATAACAAGCGTAATGAAATGATGAATTGTTTCTCATCGAACGTACGACTGCTTGCGTTTTGTAGAAACAAACGAGACGACCACGCCTGTTCAGGGCGTGATGTTACGAATTCCAGCCGTCACAATTTGGGTATACTGTCGCCACCTCGGAAACCACCGAGGCTCGCTGAAAGCGCGTTGTCTTCCGGTGAGAGTACAACGGGTGATAGCAGTCAACAGAGTCAAAACTCTCAAAGATCACAGAGATCAGTCGTATATCTTCATGCTGCTACAGGTGATTATTAACAATTTTCACGCGTATCCCAACAACGAAATGTTAAAAAGTGTTCAAGCCTTAAGAAAGAAATTTATTTTGCATCTTGTTAATAAGTTTTTAAATTGTTTCTTTCTTTAATAAAAACAATGACATACTTGAAAAGTCTTTTTTTTTTGTAATAACTTCATGTTTTGTAACTTATTATCTTTATAGAATAATATTCTCACACGTATGTATGTATATATATATATATATATGTATAAAATAAGTAGCCTGGCCCTTTCGCAGGTTTATTTAAAATTAATTTTTTATTTTTGTTCATACACTATGATTATAAAAAATTATATTCTACTTACCTAAGTATAAAATTTATTATTCATTTATGTTGTAACTATATTTTTGTTCAGTGGGCGAAATACCTGGCCCCAATGAAAGACGTAGAGCAGCGAGCAGGGAGGAATTAAATCGACCACTTCAATCGCATACGAGAACAGTATCGAGGAGTGTCAGTGTTCTCGCACCCTGGAAACCTAGACATTATAGGGAACCTTTCGAAATAAATTACGATCAACAATTACATCCAAAGCCTCTGGCAACTATAAGGCGCAGGCAAAGAAGTCGCGAGACATTAAGTCGTCGGGGAAAAGATATGCGACGAAGCAAAGATAATCTCTCAAAAACTGGTAAAAATAAAATAAACAAAATGCTTCTATAAAACGTGGATAGAAAGACCGTTGAAAATATTCTGAATTTTTTAACGCATGCACAACTTTGGAAAATGTAAAATAATAATAAAATTTTTATTCTTTACAAATCTTGTAAATTTCTATCTTACATGTGAAAAAAAAAATGGGAAAAAGAAAATATTCCATTTATGAAAGGTTATTTTCTGTCCACGCTTCATATGTGAAAAATCACGTTATATGATATATAATATTTATCATTGCAGGTACGATTAATCGTAGCACGCTGAAATCGAAAGACAAGCAAAAGGTGGATAGAACCGTTTCCACGGAATCGTTGGCCACCAAATCACGGAATGTAAACTCAAAACCAGAACTAAACAGATCCACATCCGTTCCACGCGATCCGAATAAGAGTGCGGGTTGGTTCAAGCTGAAAAGCAAAAAATCCCGAACTTGAAGGGGAGGCCATTGATTAATGCTAGTCTTGAGTCTCATAAGTAATTCGTAATTGTAAGGGATTAACGATAACACACACGCATCGATCCACCGCCGTACTCACGGACAATATATATAATTGTACAACAAGTTATTATTTTATCATTGTATTTTGTTTCTTCTAATGTATAATGAAAAATCCGCCTCAGATCAAAAACGATTTAATGACTAAATAAGTAATTCTTATTAACCGAATAAAAGAAATTGACAAGTTCTTCGTTGTTTTAATATATAATCATTGTAATTACAATTAATAATGTAAATTTAATTATGATGTTGATTGTGAACTACATTGCGCTTAAACTACTTTTGTAAACAAGTTATGCGGTCCATGGCAAAATGTAAAATTATCTGAATATGTACACACGTTGCTAAAACACTATCTTCTAGTTGTTTCATTGACACACTATCCTTTTTTGGAATGTGGTAATAAATGAATTTAAACTGATAACAAAAGAAAATCAACGAATATAAATACAATTGGAAGATATGCACTTATCGAAAGGCTCAACTTATTTTAAAAGGATCTTCAAAAACTGGTATTCCTTCCGTAATAGAGCTTTCTCTCTGCCAAATTTAAAGAAATTAAATTTGTTGCATAAGATGAGAATGCATTAATAACCATTTAGGCTACTACTCTTCTTTCCATGTGCTTTATAAAAACGGAAAAAATTAATTTCATTTCACCGTGAATCAGAGTGCCATTTCCGTTTCTCTTACTATGCATACACATCATTTCAACTAAAATCAAAATTGCCGAATATGCAAGATATTTTCTTAATATATTAATTATAACGTATATTTTAAGATAATAGTGACAGCATAAAAAAATATTTGTTTAATTTCGTCATAATAATTACCATGTTTAAATTGTACAAGGAGATACTTAGCAGTTATATATGTTTATTGTGCATAGATCAACTCTATCTTATTTACATATATTAATTGTAAATATTTGTAATAATAATCTTTATTTCTAACTGTAATCTTTATGTTTGCTTCATTATATTTCCAGTTAATTTTTTTCTTGGATTATTAATTAGCACGTTCCATCATTTTTCGAACTAATTGTGAACATCTGAAATAGTAAAAACAGATATTTATATATATTAACTTAATCCGTTTTATGCTATTATTTTGTGCAACGACGTGAATTCAGTATGTCCATAATTTTCCTTTCTATTTGGTGCTGTTTATTTGTCGTGTATATATTGACAATTATAACTCATGTGTAAATATCATGAATATATAGACAATGTATCGTTCTATCTATAAATTTATATTATCTTTTAATATAATTATTTACATCTCATTTAAGTCCCAGAATATTTTGTAACACAGTTATTAATTTGAAATAAATAAATAAGCATAATACCAAATATTTCAAGTATTAAGAAAAAATCAGTGTCATAAATTCCATATATTTCATAATAGCATGTAGCCTGCTAAATAATTAATGGCTTCTTATCTATATAATTATATAATATATGACTACAACTTCATTCATATAATTATATCTATATAATCATTGTAATATAAATATTATTTTTAATATCAAATCTCAAAATTTTGATTATCTTTTATAATTAATCCTCCATGACCTGGGTCATTCAACTAAATTCCACTTGTGAATTTTTCAAAACCTTTTAATCTTTTAAGAGTTCCATTAAATACAAAATTTTTTTACATTTTTTAAGTGTATGGATATGAACGACCCAGATTTCTTTTTTATAAACAATGCAGTAACATGCTTGCCTATGGAAGGTTAATAAAATTGACACATTCTAAATTGAAGTGCTATAATTAAAGTTGTACAGTATTCTCTATTTTATCCAAACAACAAAGCACTGTTCCAATCAAAATCAATATCATCCCCATATAAGTATCTGAAAATCAAAACAATTCATATAAATTTCATTATAAATTGCGGACATTGAAAGATAGCAAATTATATGCCAACATTTGTGTATCTTTTCTTCGCCCAAAATCCAACCAGTCATTGCAGTTATCACAAAAGTAAGAGAATTAGTAACTGGGATAGCCAATGATATATCTGCTCTACTCAAAGTTAAAAAATACAACACAGACCCACTTTGGTTAATGATAAATGGTATAATGTACTAAATGAGAAAAAAAAGAAAAGTAATTAGTAAATAATAAAATATATTTATGTAAGATAATAAAGATTTTAAAGGAAACCTTTAAATTTGTAACAAGAAAGGCAAGTTCTTTAAAAAATTGACCGAATCTAGAAGATGATTTCACATTTTCTAAACCTCTGGCTCCTTTCTTAATAAATGGATTGGTTACACCCCATAAAAATGCCACAACAGTAAGAAATACAATGGAATCTATAAAATTAATAAAGATTAAATAAAAAGAATTTTAAGTTCATTACATATGTAATAGTTTGTTTATAACAGAAACTTATTATTAATTTATAAATATGTATATATTATATAAAAGTTACCTAACCTAATAATACTAACACTTTCTTACCTAAAGATGCTGACATTTTTATTATGATTCAACATTTAAGGAATATCAATTTATATATATAAACTGTTATCAATCGTTTAATATTTTTATTAAAATTCAAAAAAAGACACAATAACAAGAACTTAACCTTACAAATTGTGGGTGTGATGAAATAAAATTACAATCATTTATATTAATTAATTAATCTTTAAACAGTGCATTTTTTAACTTAAAATAATTTAAAATACAATTTTTAATTTAAATTATTTTAAAAACGTATATTATAATTGTAGATTAAATATTCACTTCTATCAGTCTTTTCATCATACAATATTTGCAATATGTATTATGTGAATATATATATTTAATCAGTAACTTAAATAAATTTATTAATAAGTTATAGCATAAACGATGTCAAAGTAGTAAGCAAATATCTTCTTGACTTGAAATAATATATGTATGAATGTGTAAGTAAATTGTTATATACGAAACGTGATAGGTATAATTTTAATTTTCTAACTATTTCGGGGATATAAAAAAAATTTTTTTTTTAAATAAAAAATTTACAGATATTTACAAATTTACAGATATTTAGAAATTTTAACAACGTTTGTAACAGAAATACTAGAAAGACGTGTTATTGGTCATCACGAACAAAACTGTATTTAAGTAAAAATTATTATAGTCGTAAATTATTTGTAGATGTATTTGAAGCAAATGTATATACAAAATAACTTATTATTTATATTATAAATGATGTGTAATTTATGCTATAAATAATAAATGATAACAATCAAAACGATGTAATAACAGTTTTGTCAAGGGAGAGATTCTATTTTATCTTCAATAACAAAAAGTTATTATTTATCTGACAAAAATTGACATTTTCATTGTACTTTAATCATATGTGACGACATTACTGTAAGAAAATAAATATTATTATATACTTTCATAGTATTATGTAAAAATATAACCTAACTTAACAAAAATATTCTTTTAGTTAAAAAAATGACTACGAAAATTGACAATGTAGATGATAACTTACCACTTCCCTCTGAAAAGATGCCTAAATGTTGGAATGAAGAAGAAAGGATCAGTGCTTTATTTTCTCCTTTTCGCAGTAAATCAGCTAATCCACAAGATTGGATATCAAAATATAAATTTTGGCAGAATTTAATATATGAATGGTTGAAGCATACCAAGAGAATCAGTTTTTCTATTACAGACTTAAATAGTGCTTTTAAAAGAAAAGGTTGCACACCACTTTGTTTAGCAACTGTCGTTGAAGAATTGCTACGGTAATGTTACCATTGTGAATTATAAGAACAATTAAAGAGGACTCAATATTCCAATTATATGTATTCGCACAATGACTAATCTATGTAATATTACAGGACTAATGAAATAATTCCAGAAATTGAATTTTTGAAAGAACCTTGTGAATCGTGGACTGCATGGTCGATTGATATATTTATAAAAAAACCACTTGCATGGTCATTTTCAAAAGTTAAAAGTTACGTTGGTAATAATGAAAACAAAGAAACTAAGTATATACATCTACAAATTGTCAAAGAATTTGGAGATATTTTACTTTCCATCTTGGAACAAAAAAGAGAACATATTCTTGTACCATTTTCTGAACTGGCAAAAAGTTGTAAATCTGAAATAGATAAAAATATATCAGATAATACCATAATGTTAATTTTAATATGGTTAAGACATCAAAAAAAAGTAGTTTTTAGAAGTAGTGAAAATGAAAGTGAATTATTGATTAAAATTGTTATGCATTCATCAGACAGTATAACAGAAATTGAAGAAGGCCTGTATAAGTTGATGAAACAAGAAAATGAACTTATAAAAGAAATAGAACTTATGGAGAAAGAAAAAATTAATGTTATTAATGAAACTAAATCATATTTAAGTAAGGGATTGCGACAAGTAGCAAAAACATATCTGAAGAAAAAGAAAGAATTAGAAAATACTATTGAAAAACGAGCTCAATCTCTTGACAATATTCAAAGTCTTATTACAAGTATTCAAAATACTCATACAAATACTACTGTGCTATCGGCTTACAAAACAGGATCAAATGTATTAAAAAAACTTAACAAAAGTTATTTATCAGAATCCAATGTTACAGATGTTGTAGATGATTTACTAGAAGTGAGTAAATTTAAAAACTAAACAATTAATTGTTAGTTTTCTTGTATTGAAATATTTGTATTTATGTATATTCTCTCTCAGGCTCTAGAAGAACAAAAAGAAGTACAATTTACATTGTCAGAATCTCTTAAAAATGATGATTCAAACGCTGATTTAGAGGCGGAATTGACAGAATTAATGAAATCTGACGAAAATATTTTGCCTTCAGTACCAAATTCCGAATTAAGCCCTACCATCGATGAACTTCAAAAAGAATTAAAAAACTTATGTGTTGAAGGTAAAATATTTATATTATATTTCTTTGTATTGTAATATTATACTTTTACATTTGATATTATGATATTTTTTTAAACAGAAGCTTTATCTGATGTACCATCTGAATTACCAAAAAAGGTCAACAACAAAAAGATATCGAAACAATCTGAATGTCTGTAGCAATTATAGCATTTACATGTGTATATACAGTGGGGTGCAAAATTGAGTCAATAATTTTTAAGAAAAATATTTTTGATTGTTAAATAAAGTATAAAAACATGAAAATAAACTTGACTATCTGATTCTTTATAGTTTTAGGACACTGAAGCTATTGTTTAACTTTTAAGATAGGTTTCTTTCTGGCTGAAAAAATTAAAAAACATAGAATCAATTTTGCACCAGAATTTTTTCATAGTCAGATTTACGAGCTTTATCATACCTTAATATTTTGTCCATAAGCCATTTGCTTAGATAATAGCTCGGGTAAGTAGCTCGCTTTTCGCTATATGTTTCGCGTCCAGATCATGTAATTAGCTGACTACTCAAGCATTTTCAATCTTAGCTTGGCCCCATCAAGAATCTATGGAATATATTGAAAAAAAATTCTAGATACATACAAATCTCCTCCTAACTCAGTACTGGAACTTACATGCTCGTGTTATAGAATAGTGGAATTAACAGTGGCCACCTGATTTCTGCTAAGACTGTTTGAAAGTATGCCAAGACGTATTAGAGCTATTATCTAAGCAAATGGCTTATGGACAAAATATTAAGGTATGATAAAGCTTGTAAATCTGACTATGAAAAAATTTTGGTGCAAAATTGATTCTATGTTTTTTAATTTTTTCAGCCAGGAAGAAACCTAATCTCAAAAGTTAAAAAACAGCTTCAGTTTCCTAAAACTATAAAGAATCAGATAGTCAAGTTTATTTTCATGTTTTTATACTTTATTTAACAATCAAAAATATTTTTCTTAAAAATTCTTAACTCAATTTTGCACCATATATATATTTTTTTATAATTGTAGTGTCTTGTTTGATAATGTCATATTTATAACAAAAATAATTTTAAATATAATATAATGTAATTTTATAGAAGTATATAATTTATTTTGTATAAATTTAAGAAATAATGTTTAAAATTTGTATAGAAGATTTTATGTTAAAAAATTTTATTTGTTCATACATTTTTAACATGTAAAGACAATATCTTACACATTTTTTATTAAACATATTTGAAATATTGTATTTTGTATTTTTATTGTTATATTTATAGATAAAATAACGGTGATTAATGTAAAAAATACACATTACATATATAAAAATAAATATAAAATTTCACCAATGTATGTTGTGTTGGAAAAGATAAGTAGATTCTCAATCTCAATCCCTTTCAATCTCAATTTTTTGTAATAAAAATTACTGGTAGATAAATTATAATTTTTTAAATTAATCATTGAGCATTTCAATTATGATGGACACCGATTTAATAATGATGGTTTGTCTATCTTGAAAATAATATTTTGAATCCATGACATATGACTGGAAATTTTAGTATATAAAGAATATGCATAATTATCACAGACTAGATTTCCTCCTTCTTGTTTTGTACCAAGACCAACACTAACAATGCCTTTTAAATACCATAATCCACTGTTGTTAAAGACCAATCCGCCACCACTGTCGCCCTCACAAACTGCTGAACCTATCATTTACATATTTTTTATTATAAAATGATTCGTATAAAATAAACAGAATATTTATTTATATATTTCACATTTAATTTAAAAAAAAAAAAAAGAATTTTAATATTTTACTAACCATTCGTATAACCTGCACAAAACTTATCAGTTGTAATAAAATGTCGTGTATCATAAGTACTACTTAAAGTTTTGCACCGTTCAAAAGGAATAAATGGCACTTCAATTTTTTGTATAATAAGACTGGAGATTCCAAAAGCAGTCCTTCCAAACCCTGCAACTTTTCCAAACAACCCATCCTCTAATGAAATCCATCCATAGTCATCTAAACATACAGGTAGTAATATACTAGAAAAATTAAATGTATCTTTAATTTCCAACACAGCTATGTCATCAGCATAATTTCCTTTATATCCATTATATTCACAAATATAGTATATATGTTTCACCTAAAATGCATTTACAATATAATTAAGGACATGTCAAAATAATAAATATAAGTATCAAACTAATAAATAATGTACCTGTGCTTTTTGCACTACTGTGTCTTCATGAAGAGGAGAATCATAATTTCTAAAAATATTGCCTGCAGCTATGTGAAATTTTGATGCATCATATACTTTTGGAGTTATTCCAGATTCATCAAAAACACAATGCGCTGCTGTAACTAGAAGTCTTTCATGAATAATAGTTGCACCACAGATAAATTCTTTTGGTGCAGTGGAGTTCATCGCTCGGTAGAGTGAGGCATGCCATGGGAATTCAAAAACATCAGGTCTTGTTCCATTTACAATAGCTGGTACGAAATTTAAAGGTTGAATACCACATGCTAAAATATATATATTTATATCATGTCATTAGAGACAAATAATTATTATTAAGGTAAGTTTGAATCTTAAGAAATTTGTATTGAATCTTTTACTTTACATAAATGATAATTTATATACATTTAAATAGTTATTTTATAAAAATAGATAACAAATTATGTAAATTCTAATATCAACTATACAGAATAACAAATAGCAAATAAAAAAAATTAGTTATATGAAATAAATAAATTTACAACATAAATTTCATTAGATATACACAAATGTGACTAATGTCAATAGTTCATTCTTTATGAATTATAAATACAAACTTTCTTTTAAATTAAAATATCATAAAATTATTTTATTATTATTTTCAATATCGAGTTCAAATCTTTAAAAAATCTTTAAAAATTTTTATTTTCTGTATCAAACCTAATATCAATATCTGGATCATTATTTTTCTTTTTATTTATATAAATGATAATTTTATCATCAGAAATAAACGTAATATTATTGTTTTGTACATCAGTTTGTAATGAGACAGAAGAATTATTAACATAAATATTTATCATTAGCGGACCTGGAACACATTGTATTGGCTCTGGAAACCATCCACCTGTTTCATTACATCTAACATCAAATAATGTAGAGCCTTTCTCTATGTGATAACCATCACGGCATTTTAATTTTGCTGTTGTCCCAGGAACAACATCAGAACATGGCACATATTTACCATTATGCATACATTCAACACTCCTGGAAGATGATATTAATCCTTTACAACGTATTTCTGTAACACATAAACATATTCAATATCTTTTTACTATTTAATATTTTTTTTTTCGTACCTTTACATTCTGGAATGTTTATCCATTGACCTTGACTGTTACAAAACACTGAAGCACTGCTAGTTAACTTATAACCGGAATTGCATCCATATATTAATTCTTGCCCAGGTGCTAATTTTGTACCTTGTGGAACATCACAGTTGTCACATATTTTATCTTTTCCATTACGCCAATATGATTGGTCTAATTTCCAATAACCATTTTCTGGTTTTGGTGGTGCAGTACAAGATATAGAACCCGGAGTAATAGGACTAGATGTAGAAGGCCTTATTGTTGGCCTGATAGTAGTAGATGATTTTTCAGATGTATTTCTGCATATTTTAGGATCTTCATCTGAACCATCTGCACAATTTGTAACTCCATTGCATTTTAAATCTCCATCAATACAGGCTCCATACGTACAACGAAACAAATATTGTGGACATCTATAAATATTTTAAATGGAATTGTACTATATGAATTAAATTAAGTAACAAATTAATATTTATTATCTCTGTAGTAATAAAATAATTATAATGTATATAAAATTATAATACAATTCAAATATTTACACAGTATTAAGATCTTTTTTTTTTAATTTTGCAACTTACGTAATTGTACTACATTTAAAAATTGTTTCATCTGAATTGTCTATACAGTCTATTTTACCATCACATAAACCACTTTCAGCAATACATTGTCCATCATCACATTTAAATTGATTTTTCCCACATGAATTAAATGAAGATGTATTAAAGGAAACACTTCTACATGTGGGTAATGTTTCATCACTGTTGTCAATACAGTCTTGTTCACCATTGCACGTTTTATCTCCATCTATGCATGCACCATAAGAACAACGAAATGCAAGCCTCTGACATATAATTTCAGGTTTAGTACATTCTACTACTGTTTCATCAGATTTATCTTTACAATCTGCTGATCCATCACATAATAATTCACTTTTTATACAATCTCCATTTTTACATTGAAATTTTTCTGTTCTATAAGACATCAATGAATTTATAAATGTTAGTAATGAAATAATAAATAGAGTATTTTATTGATATAAGATAATGTAAAAAGATTTGTTAACTTACCCACATTGTGTACATCCACGTTCTATCAAGCCTATAAAACAGGTAAACTATATACTTCATTGCTTCAATTTTTTTATTTCATTTTATTTTAAACATAGATTGTAATGTAATATAATGTAATATAACAAACTGTTTATAACAAAACAATATAATTTCACTTCGTAATAACTTTGAATTTATTATTGTAGATTCATAATCTCTAATTGGTGTATGTAAAAATTCTTTAAAGTTCAAGGTTCAAGGTTCAAGGTCACTAAATCTGATTTAACGAAAAATAAAAATGAATTTACTTACCGAATATAATTGTTAAAATAATAATTTTCGTATTTTTCATAATAAAGAAAATTACGAAAAAGATTCTTTCAGCTCTTCAGTTCAGTTGTTGATTGTTCGCTGATCCTGAATCAATCTGGAATAACCCGTTTGATGCAACAAGTATTCTTATCTGTTTGTGTGTTTGTGAGAGTTAGGAAAATACGCGGATGTATACGCACTATATTTTCACTCAAAGATCACATGTCAAAAGCGGAAATAATAGTTAATATTTCATACATTTGTCATACATAGAAAATAGCAATAATTTTTTGAGGTAATTTTTTTTAAATAAACAAATCATATAAATGAATATATACTATATTTAAAGAAATTTTAGATTTTTTTATACATCAGTAACAATATATTTTAAAAAATGATTTTAAAAGATGATTACTGACAAATATATTTAATATAAGAGTTTGATAAATAAATACAATACAAATCTTATTCTATATCTTCATATGCTACAAATTCTTTAGATGCAAACCTCTTTGGTGTTAAGTAAATTGCCAACCAATTTAACATACTGTATTACACTTGTTAAGGTAAATATTTTTAGTAAAACATTCTATGATAAAAAAATCTAATAAATTATTTTGGAAATGATGACACGAAAAAAGGATACACGTTATTTGAAGTTTCTGTATCTATTATGTCTTGTAGAATGTATTCTTTATAAAATTTTTCGACTTCTTCATTACAGTCTTGCCATTCTAATGTTTTGTGAATTCCATCTTTCCCATATCTTTTATTATAATATGAATAATGTACCTGGAGGAAGAAGATCTTAATTACATAATTCTATTTGAAATTTGAAATTAATTAAAACTAAAATATCTTACAAAATGTAAACTCAATCCTAAGCCTGGTGCAATGGGAATGTCATATTTTTCTAATGAAAATACATCTTTGACAAAATCGCTTGACACGATATTTCTACAAATCCCTATTACCAAAGATACCATTTTTCTAATTTGATGTAACATAAAACTTTGTCCCTTCACTTCCAATACAGCAAATTCCATATTATTTGCAACAAACGTTTCAATACAACGGAAATGTATTATATAACGCTTGGCGCTCGGATCTAATGGTCTTCTAAAAGAATTAAATAATATTGTGAATAAGTAATATATCAATATTTTATCATATGAAGTAACTTACATTTTTGATGTAAAATTATGAAAATTATGTGTGCCTTCAAATAATTTTAAAATATTATTTAACTTATCAAGCATTTCTGGAGTTAATCGAAATTCATTATATGGCTTTTCATTAATCAGAAACAGATCTTTAAGTCGTTGCTCTTCATCTACTTCATCTACTTCATCTATGTCAAGTTTTAAAAAATTTGGATCCTCTGGAGCCAAAGCAAATGTAGGGAAAACATATCTGTATGTTCTACTATCACATTTACTTTTACTATTAAAAGTTTTTATTACTCTCTGTATATCAAATACTCTGATATCATTTGGAAGATGCTTATTTATGTCTTCTTTATTTACCTCTTGGGCTATAATTGATTATAATTACCTATTGCTTCGTTTGAAGTCATTGTTGATGTACTTATATAACTATTAAATACTTACGTAATAGTAAAGAAACAATTTGCCTAACTGCTGATACACCTTTATCTGTACGTGCAGCTCTTTGAAATCTAAGCAGTCTCACATCTTCAAATTGATCCTTTGTAATAAAATTTGCTTCCAATAATGCGGATAATAAACTCTCCTCAATAGTTTTTGTACCACGATTAATCTGCATACCAAAATAATCTCTACCACGATAACCGAGCATTATTACAAAGTTCTTTCTTTTAGAAAAGTTTTTCTTTTCTACTATATCCCCAGCTGCTTTCACGTCTAGTGCTCTTTTTACAATTTCGTAATTTTCATCAAGTTTCTGCCTTTTATTAGTCGCCACAACGTCAGATGTTTCATAGTCATTTTGTACAACATTTTTAACTTCGACTGACATGTTTTTATAGTTACTATTAACTAAAATTAGATATAAACTTAACATAACAATAAATGTAACAAGGCAATTTAAAACATTACTATTAAACATGTTGGACCTAATATCTACCATTTACAATTTACATGAGCTTACCGTATTGTAATCTTGAACAAAAGAAGGTTAAACTATTTTTGATGCGGTATTTGCTGGAAAACATTTAAATTGTAAAAAATTACTTCTTAAAAATGTTAAACAAGAAATTCTAATCCTTCAGCGTTCCGAGATATACATTTATATAGTCATAACCTATAAAGGTAGAATATTGTCGTATATAATTTTAAAATTAGGTATAATTTTCATTTTGATCATAAAATATATCATACAAAGGAAACATTCACGAACCGTATATAACTCAGAAACATTGTAATTAAAAATTATGTATGGGATTTTTACAATACTTGTTACTACTATAATATCATGTACCGCACTATAGAGATTTCAACTTTTCATTAGAAATTAAAAATAAATATCTTTCAAATATTTTTTTCTTTTTGCGTTTAATTTGATTTTATTTGTATTTAAATAATTTGCGAAATATACGTAACTTTAAACAATTTACATTGTTAATAAATATATTATTTCTTAAATATACATCATTATTTGGGTATATTTTAAAATACATAATCCTTTAAATCTTATATATAAGTCATATTACGTACATTAAAGAATACGCTATAAAATTTAATTTAATATCTGAAAATAACAATAAAACATGATTGATGAGGACAATTAAGGATAAACAATAGAATAGTCGAATTTTCATTGAAGAAATTGGTTTATTCAATTTATTTAAAGAAATACATTATTCACAACTAATTTTACATGGTCATTCGAATGCTGCTTCGATTTGTAAATCTTTGCTTGTGCATTTCATAGACCAATTGGAACATAAAAAGAAAATCCAAAGCAATCGTTCGTAAACAAATCTCCTTAATTTTTTTGAAAATTCGATTTATGAATGCTGAAATGGCGCAAGATATGGCGTTATTCTTATTGTTTACGATGGTGCTACGTGCATCAAGCACGAAGCACTAAGAAACGTTTAGAAAACATAAGAAACCTTGTTTGACTATACTACCATTGACTAAAATTGTTACTTATAGCCAACGACTAGAATTGGAGTCAACAAGAATATATTCGTACTGTCATCTATTGGAGATAATTTAAATAAAAGATACCTACAAATTTTACCTACAAATCGAAACATTCGAAATAGAACGCGAACGTAATTCAAAACATTAACTAAAGATAGGATAAAATAAGAAAATTAAATAAAGCCATTGACTAATCTATAATAGAAAAACTGCTTTTCGAAATATTAACAAAAATTATCAATTGTTCCGTATCACCACAGATGTGGTACTTCCGTTCTTTTTTAAAAATTTCTCATGAATTTATGTATTTGATTTAGATCAGAGTTTTTAACTTTTTATTCCAAGTTATCAATCGCGCGATTATAGCGCCACTACACGATGAAATACACAATACACTTCCTACGATTCTCGAACGTAATCGATATTTTTCACGATCGATTTTTGAACGGGAAGAATGGCGGACCGAAGCACACCTCATCTGTGAAGAGGAAAGAAGAAAGAAGAAGTAAATATTATTCAGAAGAATCATCCAGAAAGAAGTATCATTCAGAAGTTCTCAGGTAAAAATTTAAATCAATAATTGTTACATTTGTGTGTGTATTGTGAATTTTTCAGATGAAACCTGCATTTTTGGCTTCAAGGTGAGATTTAACCAAACTATTACATATAATTTTCAACAATTAAAGAAATAATAGCATATAAATATTTAAATATAACATACTATGCTAAAGTTATTTATAATTTTATATCAAAATTTAATTTCAATTCTAACCAATACAAATATTGTAATCTTGTAATTGACTAACTTATTGTTATATATATATGTATTTTAATATATGCTTTTACATAGACACTTCTATCATAACAATTTCTATTCATTTGTTGAGTCTCTAATTTCATACATCACATAATTCCTAACAATTCCAATACTAAATTCAACAACAATTTATTAAAAATGTACGTATTTAATCGTTAAAATAATAATTTTACTACGTAATATAATAAAATGTCTTAGTTTAAAGTATTGACAATTTTTCATTAAGTGTGTGAATATTTTCGTTCTTTTTTCAAGAATTTTTCATGAATTTTATGTATTTAATTTAGACCAGAGTTTTTTACTTTTTATTCCAAGTTATCATTGTGAAATGTACGATTACAGCGCCCCAACGGTGAAATATACAATATAGTTCCTACGATTCTCGAACGTAATCGATATTTCTCATAATCGATTTTTGAGTGGAAAGCATGGCGGAAGGAAGTTCACTTCGTCTATAAAGAAGAAAATATTCAGAAGAATCATCCAGAAAAAAGTATTATCCAGAAGGTAAAAATTTAAATCAATAATTGTTACATTTGTGTGTGTATTGTGAATTTTTCAGATGAACCGTGCATTTTTGGTCTCAGCTCAAGGTAAGATTAACCAAATAATTATTATATATAATTTTCAATAGTTGAAGAAATAACATATAAACATTTAAATAGAACATGCTGTGCTAAAAGTTATTTATAATTTTATACCAAAATTTAATTTTAATTCTAACCAGTATAAATATTGTAATCTTGTAATTGACTAACTCATTGTTATATATATACATATATATATATACATATATATACACATATTTTATTTTGCACACACACTTCTATTATAACATTTTCTACTTATGTGTTGATTCTTTAACTTCATACTGCGTAATTCTTAACAATCCTAATAATAGTAAAACACAATAATTTATTAAGAATGTACGTATTAATAGTTAAAATAATAATTTTAATGTGTAATGTAATGAAACTGTTCAGTTCTCAAATAAAGTAAAGCGTAGTAGGCTTTGGAGCTCGAAATTCGAAGTAAGAAACAACAACACGAACACAATGTTTACGTTCGTCTTGATTATCGTGCCTGTTCGGACAGGATCACCCCATCCCCTACTCTCAATTGCGAAACGAGACGAGTTGAGGAAAGTCATTCGGCTGTTGAATTTCGTGACAGTAACATGTATTTCGTCGCATTAGATTCAAAACTTTTCTAACCTATCGGTGGCGTCTCTTCGATAGCGTCGTTTCTTGGACACTTTATTCCATTTATACTTTATTAATAGTGTCATTTAATTAATACGCGTGTATAATGATCCATTGAGCATTACGATAACGAAATATAGTAAGATTTTGAATCTTTTCATGTTGATTTTTCTTCGATCATCGATTTTACTCTCACGGTACCTTGTCTCATACGCTTTTTTAATAGAATTTAAAGTTGATTATCGTTTCACTTTTACATATTTGTCTTCACTTAACATATTTGTTTTAACTTTTGGCTTTTTTTTATGCAGGTTGTTCCTTGGTTGCAAAGATAGCATATAATGACGCCACGATCATTAATGGAATTTGATGAACTTTCACGGAAATTTGGCAATATTTTATTCATTTTGGGTAACATATAATATACAGTTCATATATATTTGAGATACAATTCACAATACGTAATTTCACAATTATTTGGAATACAAAGATGAAAATAGAAAAGATTAAATCAATTAATATTTTATTTGGATATAGATCAACTTAATAGTATACATGTATTGTCAATTGGATGTATATTCTTGTTTTAGATTATCAAATTCAGAGTTTTCGTATTATACTATATGTACTTTATTATATTGTATTTGCTTTTTTCGAATGCTGATGTGCAATTGAAACAGTTCAAAGCAAGATTTCACACGTGTTTTTCGTCGTATTGTTTCTTAAATATACTTAGCTGTAAACATTATTTACATTTTGATTTTGTGCAAACATTTTCGAATATTTATATGTGACGTGATATATTACTATAATGTGCATATTTCCTACTCTAATAACAAATATTCAGAACACAATAATTGTCTTTCATTTACAGTATTCAGTATTGAAAAATATTTTATAATTTACAACTAATATTTTCAATACATATTCACGTTTCTTTACAATCATGTTCTATAAAAATAGCAGCATTTTCTAAATAAAAGTATCCTTTGCCCTTCCCCTACTAATCAGTGTTATTTTCAGAAAATTTTTGTGACCGCGCGCAATGCGGTTAGTAGAGTCAGTGTTTGTTGCGCAATATTTAATAATAATATCTTTTTGAACAAAATGGCTCTAAATTAGATTATCAATTCATTTAAATTATATTTCGCGAATAGAGTTAGTGAGTTCGCCGATTATTATTTAAACGTACGCGTTGATAGTCCTTTATTTTCCTTTTTTTTTTTTGTATTTTTTCTTGTTCAGTGTTCGGTATTAGAGTCAGTGCTGAAGAGGACGATGAAGATGAATCCAGGAAATCAAGATCGTAAGTAATTTTATATATCTCATTTTATTCAATCTCAATTTATTTAATTTTTTAAATTTAACAACAAAGTATAATGTTTGATATTTGTTACAGATTTTCTACTCTCTCCACTTCTCCTAATCTTCTAAGATCTTATGACGCTTCAAAAATTAAAAATGTAAGTATTTCAGCATGTTGTATTTAAATTTTATTCTTTATAATTCTTTTTCTATTGAAGTTGAATGTAAAATTATAGTTATAAAATAAAAGTTTTTCAAATTACTAATCCTAATTTTTATCATTATTAAAATTTAAATTTTCACAAATAACATTGTGTCTTTATGCTTATTAAGAAATTTTTCACGGCGTTCATTTCCAACATCTACTTGATGAGGGTCCTCACGACAACTTTCCTTGTGCAGTGCAGAATCAATGATAACGTTCTTCACATCTGTCGGGTGAGTCGCATGCATTTATGTTCCTCCGGTCACTCAATCATGTCGTAGGACGAAAGGTCCGAATCGGCACGGGTGACTGGTTGTATACGTAGAATTTTTGATGAGCATAGTGACCGCGGGTATTTTTTATACCTGTGAGTAGTAACATTTTTTTCAGGTCTTTTATTAGAATAGGATAGGGCTTCTTGCACATCGCGATTTTAACAAATAGAATATATAAATTTATCATAATTACTTATAAAATCAAAATATCTTCAATATAAATATTTTCACAAGTAAAATATCCTTATGAATATCCATATGAGTAGATAAATTATAAATATTTATAAATAATTATTATTAAAACAATTTCGTTTGAGCATTTCATAGTATAGAAGACGGATACCCTCCGACTTCGTCCCTATGAAAAATGTAGTTACGGCTTATTGGTACTGGTTATATATTTTGTTATGATAATTAATAATTAACATTTAATAATTTTTAATTTTATCTTCCTTTTTATAATAATATTATATGATTTAATTAATTAAGTTTTAT